AAAAAAATAAAAAAATAAAAAAATAAAAAAATAAAAAAATAAAAAAATAAAAAAATAAAAAAATAAAAAAATAAAAATTTAAATAATTAAATAATTTATTATAATAATATAATAAAAATACTTATTAAAGAACGTACTTGTTCGAAACGAAGCATTGTCATAAAAGTTGTGATCTTATGTTCTGAAAATCTATTATCCATATTCCAATAATCTCTAATACTAGGTAATTTAAAAATACCACTATATATTAATATTGCTAGCCAAATTTTAAATTCCCCTACTTTTAATTTGGTCCATTTACGTCTCTCTCCTGCACCCTTTAAACAAGCATATTTATTAGTATTTTGAACTATTGTATTTATTTGTTCAAGTGAAAAAAAATACTAAAAATTAAATAAGGCGATGATAAAAAATGTTCATATCTTGTAGGTAAGTGTGATGTAAATTTATGCATTGGTCTTGAATGTTGAAATGTATTAAAAAAAGAAGGAGAAGGAAGCTGTACAGCTTTATGATTTTGATTATGATCACAGTCACAGCCACAACCATGGCCATGACCATGACTATAGTCACAACCTCTGGTATTTTCATTTTCTTGAACGTCTTGAATATTATAATCATCAATATTATCTAATTCACTTTTCTCACTTTTTTCATGAATATTACGTGATAATTCTGCCATATATACATTATCATCATCTTGTTCATAGAGAATTGAAGTTTCTATTGTAAAATATCATATGGTGCAAGAAATCTAAAAACCTCAATCACTTTATATAAGTGCTGCTAAGGAAAAACCTGAATGCTTACTTATAAATTTTATAAGTAAGCATTCAGATTTTCCCTTGGCGGCACTCATATAGAACAATAGTCAATTATGTAATGCATGAGATAGCTGAATTAAGTAGCAGCTTATTTCAAGTTTTAGTGGTGTGTACGAAATAGTTGCTATTATTCTTGGAGTATTATTTAATCCTTATTGTGATTTATAATTTAAGAAATTTATTTTCTAGGCGCTACTAGTTTATGCATTATCTTTATCCCAAAAGATTAAGGTTTTTAAATTTCTGCACTAATATGTGAGAAAAAATTTAAGAATTTTGTAGATGGTTAACATTGTATTTTTTAGAAATATATAGAGCGAATTGATTGATCAAATATGGTAATAGAGTGTTAATCAATATGCGCATAAAGTCAAAAAATGATTAGTCAATTTTTATGAAGAGATATAAAATGATCTTCATCCAAATTTGGAAATTGCAGACAAATTTGCCTGCAAAACCATTTAAGAGATAAAAACCTTATACATATTGTATTTTATACAAACAGAACTCTATCTAGCTGCTATCAGATACAAAGTCCATTCACTAAGTATTCTGTTTACTAAAATAGAACTAAAAAACATTAATAGCAGACAGTTAAGCGAGGCACCTTGGTGGGCTATAGTACTACCAAGCAAAGAAGTAGTAGAGCAACTTTGGAGCTCTGTCAAGTACTACAGATATGAAAATAGAAGTAGTTGCTTGTTAAATTACAATACTCTATACAGTATAACTTTTACACTCTCTCTTTTGGTACTTTTTTGATTATGCCTTTGGCTACTACCACCTACTCATCTTGGCAATAAAAAATTTTTTAAAAAAAGTGGACAAAACAGTTTACCCCTGCCAAAGGATTGGCAATATTTATATTTTCCAAATTCAGATGATATAGTAAATAGCAATCACGTGTTTGGTCTTAATAAGCATGGAGCTACTATTTTGGGTCAACTCCAGGTCAAGATACCCCTAGAAGCAGTAGCAGGCATGGGTCCTCAGACCAGCAACATCTGGTTTAAAATACGAACTAAGAGTAGATTAGCTTAATACTTCCAATATTGATTTGTCAAGATGAAAAAAAAAAATTTAGTAATAAGGCAAAGCCTTACAATAGAGATATACAAATATTGCTTTTCAAAGTAGTATATAATTTTTAAAACCTTGGCACAGGTTATAATAGTGTTATCTTGATTGTTCTTTTCTTTCTTTTTTCATGCTTTTTCTATCTTTTTCTAGTTATAATTGAATAGTGTTTAGAATTTTCAGTTTTTCTTTGTGTTTTCTGGTTTTTCTTTTTCTTTTTGATTTAGTTTTATTTTATTTTTTCATATTTCTCCTAAATTTTCATTTTTTTTGTAAATATAGCTAAGGTTTTTGTTGCTTGGATAAAAGTGAAGGATAAACTTCTTTGCCCAGATCTAGGTAGAGAAAGTTGTGAAAAGAGAAAGCTAAGACAATTTTGACAAGCTAACAAGTGGTTTACAGTGATTTGACAGATCAGTTCTAGTGAGTTAGAGCCCCAAAAATAAGTGAACAATTTGTTGCAGCAGTCATATATAAGCACCGAGAGTTGGCAATAGTTGCTAGTAATGAGGTAGCAGTGTGAGTTTTTATTGTACAAGAAGAGAATGGCAATTAGATCTAGCTTAGTTAGTGAAATTTACTTAAGAGATGTAAAGTATATTTTACTTTTGAAAATTCTCTCAAATAATAAAAGCAAGATTTGCCAAAAAAAAAAAAATAATAAATTTAAAGACATTAGTATACAACAGAAATATTTTTAAGTTACTTTTTTTAATTTTTAATTTTGTTATTTTTATGAATTTGGCATGTATTTACAATATTCATAAGCTTAGAATTAATTAATATATACCAAACACAAGACATATTCCCTTGGTTGCTATTTAATATAAATTAAATAAGCTGACTTACTCAAATTTATGTGTAAAATTTGGCAAAAAAAATACATTTCTTTAATTTATTTAAAAAAATAAATATAAAATATAATTTTAAAAATAAAGATTACATAATTAATTTTCATAGAAAATTGATAGTAAATCATTTTTGTGTAATATATTGTAATCAGTATTGGCAAATAAAACAATAGAATAAAAGCCTGATTTTTTGTCTTTATATAAAAAAAATTTTTTTATTAATAATTTGCAATTATTTAAATATATATTGTTAGACCATTAGTAAAATTATAAATTTAAAATGTTTTT